AGAAACTCCAGAACTCAAAGCTAGGATTGTGCACGCCTGATGTCACATCCATAAAAAAGGAATGACTGTGCTAGGGTATCCCGACTGTACCATCTCAGAATCTTATCTCCAATGGGTACGAGAAAGGGCTTTTGAGATGAAGATGCATTTTCCTCGTCACAAATCCATGATGCTAACTCTTCAGGATTCCGCCTGGATTATTACAAGTGAGGAAGGGAAAACGAAAAGTGCTTTAGACGAGGCTGAGAAGGAAAATAATGCTTGGAAGAACAAGTAATATATCCTCAGTAACGAGAATAAAAAACTACAGAAGCTACAACAGCAAAGGAAGGAAGAAGAATCTTCTAAGAAAAAGAAAGTACAAGAGGATTTATTTTCCTTTTGTGTGTCGTCAGGATCATCTGCTAGCTCTGGTCTTCCTCCGACTTTGGTGGATTAGAAATAGTATGTGGACAGGCTCATTTTCGAAAAGGAGAAGATGCAAGAGCAGATCAACCAGCTTATGGAGGAACTTCATGGAAAGAAAGGGTTGTAATCAAGAACATTAGACGCCTAGTTTCCTTTGCTTTGTTTTCTGTAATTTTGATGTATTGGGTCTTGAAGGAGTACTATTCGCTTTGTAAAAACTCCTCAATTTGATAAATAAAATGAGCTTTTCAATTTTCTTGAAGTCTTAATATTACTATATTTGCAAATATACTTTTTGAATTTCTTGAAGTTTCATTTGCATTTGTGCATGTGCATTTGCATTAGCATGACATCCTTTGCATTCCAGGTTTTTACTCTTGCTTCATCTTCACAGACAAGTTGAATCATCGATATAACACTCGAGCCAACCATCATCGAAGAATGGATCAACTAGAGCAAGAGAACATAGTGCTCCATGATGAAGTCGCCACCTTGAAAGAGAGTTTAGAAAGACTTAATGGATTAGTGGAATTACTGACGACTGCTCAGAATTAGCCGTCGCATAATTCTCAAGAAAACCCTCAAAGGACTACTATTTTTGAAATCATATCAGCATCGATCCTAGTGGTGTCTACAACTAATGAACCTTCGTACAACATGCCTCCAAGTTTCCCATGGGGGATGCCTCCCTTCTTCACTCCAGCTGGATACCGACCATAATTCCTGCTGTAACACCCCAAATTTATTAGAATATTTATTTAATTTATTTAAATAGGAATATTCGTATTTTTGGTGATTTGCGGTGGTTGGTATGAAGTATTGAGAATTATGGATTTTGGGTTATTTATTTAAATAATAATATATAATATGAATATATTGGTATTATTTTTAATTTAAATAAATATAAGTGAATTAAGGGTAAAATGGACATTTGAGGAGGAGTTAGTGAGGGTGAAATTGGAAAACCTATTTTAAGGCCCAAAGTTAGGTTTAACAAAAAGGAATTTTGAGAGAATTAGGATTCATTGTTGTTAGACCGTGAAAAGGGAAGAAATAGAGGTCAGAGCTCTAAGGGAAAAGGATTGAGGCAGACCTTCGCGAGGTTTCTAAGAATCAAAGAAGAAAGGTTTAGAGTCGGCAAATTAAGGTATGAGGCAAAGCTCATTACCCTCCTTCTGAATTTTTTAAGTCATCTTAAACTCTAACTTAGTTAAGTTAGAATCCATGCACATTATACTTTGGTTTAAGTATAAAGGACCTACCCCTTGTTAGGAAAGTCCTTCAATTAGAACCTTAAGTTAGAGTTTGTCAACTCTATGTAAGAATCATTGTCATGATTACTTACTCCCCTTTTGGCTTTTGTCAAAGTCAATCCACTTAAGTGTACAACTTAGATTAGAGAGTTTTGTTAAAATCTATACAAGGATTGTTATGTATGTTCCTCTTTGAACCTTTATCATAATCAAGTGTTCATTTATCCCTTGTGAGGTGAACTACGGTTGCTCTGATTCTATCCTAGTTAGGATACATAGGCAGAAGATGCGATATTTTTGCGAGCAAATTTAGAAACTATCCTTATGTCTTTACCTTTATCTTGTACCCAATCTCAATCCATAGCAAACATTTAGCATCTTAGCATACAAACATACAAAAGGTTCCTGTAGAGTACTACAAATGTTTAGGATGTGAAATACCTACCCTGGGCATAACCAACCCCCGATCCTCGATCTCTTAGTGTTATTGTTACATCATGCAAAAGGTCTTTCATTATTTAACCTTTCCTTTAGATAAATCAAAGTCCGATTGTGAATTTAATGAATTAAGATTCAAGTTAATTAATAGCTTGACATCCGACTCTCACCGCAACACCTTCTAGAAGGAATTTTTCTCATGGAAGGAGAAACTCCAGAACTCAAAGCTAGGATTGTGCACGCCTGATGTCACATCCATAAAAAAGGAATGACTGTGCTAGGGTATCCCGACTGTACCATCTCAGAATCTTATCTCCAATGGGTACGAGAAAGGGCTTTTGAGATGAAGATGCATTTTCCTCGTCACAAATCCATGATGCTAACTCTTCAGGATTCCGCCTGGATTATTACAAGTGAGGAAGGGAAAACGAAAAGTGCTTTAGACGAGGCTGAGAAGGAAAATAATGCTTGGAAGAACAAGTAATATATCCTCAGTAACGAGAATAAAAAACTACAGAAGCTACAACAGCAAAGGAAGGAAGAAGAATCTTCTAAGAAAAAGAAAGTACAAGAGGATTTATTTTCCTTTTGTGTGTCGTCAGGATCATCTGCTAGCTCTGGTCTTCCTCCGACTTTGGTGGATTAGAAATAGTATGTGGACAGGCTCATTTTCGAAAAGGAGAAGATGCAAGAGCAGATCAACCAGCTTATGGAGGAACTTCATGGAAAGAAAGGGTTGTAATCAAGAACATTAGACGCCTAGTTTCCTTTGCTTTGTTTTCTGTAATTTTGATGTATTGGGTCTTGAAGGAGTACTATTCGCTTTGTAAAAACTCCTCAATTTGATAAATAAAATGAGCTTTTCAATTTTCTTGAAGTCTTAATATTACTATATTTGCAAATATACTTTTTGAATTTCTTGAAGTTTCATTTGCATTTGTGCATGTGCATTTGCATTAGCATGACATCCTTTGCATTCCAGGTTTTTACTCTTGCTTCATCTTCACAGACAAGTTGAATCATCGATATAACACTCGAGCCAACCATCATCGAAGAATGGATCAACTAGAGCAAGAGAACATAGTGCTCCATGATGAAGTCGCCACCTTGAAAGAGAGTTTAGAAAGACTTAATGGATTAGTGGAATTACTGACGACTGCTCAGAATTAGCCGTCGCATAATTCTCAAGAAAACCCTCAAAGGACTACTATTTTTGAAATCATATCAGCATCGATCCTAGTGGTGTCTACAACTAATGAACCTTCGTACAACATGCCTCCAAGTTTCCCATGGGGGATGCCTCCCTTCTTCACTCCAGCTGGATACCGACCATAATTCCTGCTGTAACACCCCAAATTTATTAGAATATTTATTTAATTTATTTAAATAGGAATATTCGTATTTTTGGTGATTTGCGGTGGTTGGTATGAAGTATTGAGAATTATGGATTTTGGGTTATTTATTTAAATAATAATATATAATATGAATATATTGGTATTATTTTTAATTTAAATAAATATAAGTGAATTAAGGGTAAAATGGACATTTGAGGAGGAGTTAGTGAGGGTGAAATTGGAAAACCTATTTTAAGGCCCAAAGTTAGGTTTAACAAAAAGGAATTTTGAGAGAATTAGGATTCATTGTTGTTAGACCGTGAAAAGGGAAGAAATAGAGGTCAGAGCTCTAAGGGAAAAGGATTGAGGCAGACCTTCGCGAGGTTTCTAAGAATCAAAGAAGAAAGGTTTAGAGTCGGCAAATTAAGGTATGAGGCAAAGCTCATTACCCTCCTTCTGAATTTTTTAAGTCATCTTAAACTCTAACTTAGTTAAGTTAGAATCCATGCACATTATACTTTGGTTTAAGTATAAAGGACCTACCCCTTGTTAGGAAAGTCCTTCAATTAGAACCTTAAGTTAGAGTTTGTCAACTCTATGTAAGAATCATTGTCATGATTACTGTGGTAGTGAGAATTGGATATCAAGCTATTGATTACCTTTAATCTTAATTCATTATTCACCACCGGACTTTAATTTGTCCAAGGGAAGGGAAAAAGATCGAATAACCTGAAAGATGCAATGCAAATGCAAAGCTAGAGAATATAAGGTTCGGGGGTTGGTTAAACTTAGAGAAGGTGTTAACATCCTAAGAATTTGTAGTACTCTACAAGAACCTCTTGTTTTATTGTGTTATTTTATTTGCTAAGGGTGAAAGACCTAGGGATTTATTTCTAAGTATACTCGCCAAGAAGTCGCATCTTGTGCCAACGTATCCTGACGGGAGTGGAATCAGAGTATTCGTAGTTCCCCTAAAAGGATTGAGGAACTTCTTGACTGTGGTCAAGGTTCCAAGGGGGAGAAGGTTTGTTGATTGATTCTAGGAGAACAGACGAGTCGTCATCTTAAGGGAGAACACTCGACTTAACCACCACAAGAGGAGAACACTCAACTTAACCCTAAGCTGATCAACTTGAAAAGTTAAGGATCAAATAAGGGGAGAAAATGATGCAAATGAAATGCAATGTATACGACTTATGAAGTCGTGTACAGATTCTTCAGTTGGATGTACATACAAATCATATATACATCATGATTTAGCAGCGTAGTTTAAAATTAACAAAACATGTCACGAATTAAGCAAGTTTAAAATTTAAGGCCCACAGTTCGAAAACGTGATTCAAATGAAATTAGCAGCTCGAATTGTTATTGTTAATTGAATCTAATATCGCCACAATTAATTGAATTGAGATTAGAAAGGAAGGGGTTGTCCAAGAGTCATTCTCTCTCGATGGTTTCCCTAAACAAAGTCTTATAAACCCCTTTCTAAACCCTCAAATCTTGTACCAATGATGTCGGGACCAGATCACGTATCACTATCAGTCATAGAAATCAAAAGATTAATGGCATGAACACGGGAGAAAAGGGGTTACCGGCGATAACAACAGCGACGTCCGATAGAGGATATCGGTGGGAGGTAAGTTGGGTCTACGTTGGAGATGGTGGTGGCTACAACGTTGTCAACAAGAGGTAAACAAGTTAATTTCTTTTCTGAGTCTCTTTTCTCTGATTTAAATTTTGGCTACTGATTAATGTGGTTTTTCGAACGTATCAGTGTTGTGGTATTTGAGGGTGCTTCTGTGATGCCCACCTCTCCCCCCTTTCTTCTTCTCAAATTCTCTCCTCTTATAAGCAAAGTGAAAATATTAGCGTGCTCTTGTTTTGGAAATACATTAAATCTCTTGGCCCTTTGTTTCTGGAGTGCCGTTGGGAAAGGTTTTAAGTTGCAAGGACAAACTTTTAGGTTGGTAAAATTATTCTTGTTTTAGCCTGAACATGTATGAACATGTTCAATCTCTTCCTTTAAGATGTTCCCTTCTTTGAATGCTGGAGCTGATGATGCATTATTTATTTTTTGTGATTCTGATGCCTTCTTATAACATCCACAAATTAATTGTCATAATTTCGACATAATTTCGAAATCAAATCCTGCTTTGGAAATGCATTAATGTAGTCCTGAACAAATCGGGGGCTTGTTTTGGAAAAAACATAATACTTAATTCCTTGCTTTATGAATTTTTTGATTGTTAAGACATGCCTTTGTATATGTGGAAAGAAATATGGTCCCTGTCCTTTTGTTCTTACAATTCATGATGTTCACTTCCAATTTTATCTAACATGTTTGATTATGTTTTGTATTGTTTTGAAAAAAAAATGACTTGCCAGAACAGGCCTGGTGCCATCTAATTATGTTTCCTTTGTTGATTATGTTTAATCTCCATACTAATGTTCTGCAAGGAAACCTGCAAGTGAGAGTGTTAGCTCTATCATGTGAAGCAGAGAAGGATTGTGTTTGAAGGGACGATTGTTCGTTGTGTGCCGGTTTGCTGTCGTCAACCAAAACACCGTCAGTAAAAGTAAGTAACATCGAGGTATGAAGGCTATCTGGAAATATTTTTAAGTATAGAAAATGAGGTGTCGGTATGGAGGCACTTGGTATCATTATGTTAGAGAACGGTGATCTTGTTTTAGGCTGACAAGTTGTAAGCTTAGAAATCAATTCTATATGGTCTCATGGATAATGTCTTGTACGAATACTTATTTGTACCAACTATATTTGTTTTGATCATGACGGTTTTTTTGATGGTATGAACTTCTGTCATGCTTTGAAAAAGGTAGCCTGAAATGGTGTTCATTCATGTTTACATAACCTGTTGTTTTTTACGTGCAAAGATCAAACTGGTCCAGATTGCAATCCAATGCGCAACCATGGGTCATAGAAGTGTAAAAGCTTCTTGAACCATACGACACATGTATTGATAAGAGAACTCAAAATCAATGGTAATAGAATAAATTTGAGAAACTTAGCCATTATAGAACACGAACCCCAGATGACCAGTGGCAAGAACTGTAACACCCTTTTCTACCCCATAATTAAAAGACACATTTATTTATTCAAAGTCATCATAGTAAAATGTTAAACGCAACAATAAATTACCTCAAAGGACGTACATTTCTCAAAGCTCAAAATAAGTCAATGCTCCGTGTATAACAGGTTTTCCCAAAAGATATCAAAATTTGCTCAAAGGCAGCAGAACTCACAAGGAATATTCCAAAGTTTTCCTTATACGGAAAGGTAATCAAAATAACTTAGTAAAACATAGCTCGACTCAAAGACCCCAACCTGATGTTACACTATCAGAGCAAGACCCTCTAAGTTGACGAAAGGCCAACAACTTAAAACTTCGAAAGTCCTCATCGGCATCCACAACTAAACCTGGTCATCTGCATGTTACCCACATGGAGGTATCATTCAAACAGGCAGGGTGAGTAAAACGATTCATAATAATCAATGTATGAAAATCAACATATAAATGACGTCATAGTCATATTCAACATCATCATATTCATCAATAGGACTCAAGGGCCATAACATCATAAATTATTCCAAATGACTCATAAATACAAATACAACAAGACCCAATGCATGTGGTATTAATCATCATAGCGCGATGGACACTGGGCCATCAACCCTCCACAGATCCCCATTAATAGGATCGATTCTACTAGAGAATCGGAGCACATCAAAACACTTTACATCCGCACAATGGGGTTGAAGCCAAAGTAATCAAGGTCCTGAACGGAAGTCCGGATGCACATGAATGCATGATGCACATGTCACAAATCATCCTCATAATAACATCATAGGTGCATCATCATTTATCACAATCATCATCATCAAAATCATATCAGCATAGCTCATCATAATAATCACCATCAAACATCATGTCATCATAGCTCATCATAATAATCATCATCATACATCATGTCATCATAGTTCATCATAATAATCATCATCATACATCATGTCATCGTAGCTCATCATAATAATCATCATCATACATCATGTCATCATAGCTCATCATAATAACCATCATCATGCATCATGTCATCATAGCTCATCATAATAATCATCATCATACATCATGTCATCGTAGCTCATCATAATAATCATCATTATCATATACACATCACAGAGAATTCACAGTCATACTCATGTTAATCCATCATATGATCACATATTAATCACATATAATTCATAATTATACTCATGGTAATCATCATATTATCGCATGTTAATCACATGGAATTCCTAGTTATACTCATGCTAATTCATCACAGAAGTCACATAATCAAACATCAAGGCATCGCTGCACGCAATCAACATTCACGAAACTCTGTTACGTTCGCTCGTATGTTTGCTAGGCGAGTCTAGGGCGAGTTTCTTTGCCGGGCGAAGGATTCTTCGCTAGGCGAGTCTGGGAACAACATTGTTCGCTGTGCGAAGCATTCTTCGTTAGGCGAACAGTGCGATGACAACAAATTCTGCTACGCGCCAGAACTTAATTCAACCCAAAAGTCCACACGATTCACTTCCCCAATGCCCCCAAAACATCCCTAAATCATCCCTAAGGTCTTACGGCGATAAAGACACAAAACCTACGGTTCATTAGGCCAATCCCGTATCATATTCACGCCCTAAATCACAAATTCCTTAAAATTACCCTGCAGGCATCAGAGTTACTCACTATCTAATATCCCTATCCCTTCAGGGTTAGACAAATAACAAATCATGATTTTGGCCATGAAGGCCTAACTTTCCCTTTTCCCTAATGAATTCCACAGTTAGATTCACAATAATAGATTTAGGTAACGAATGCCAAAGATCACTAATTCTCATATCCACCCTCAAAACCCTTAAACCTTAAATCGTCCTTAAATACATTTAAAGTTACACATGGAAAATCATGAAGGTAATACTCCCCATACCTTAATTGTCGATCAAGGTCTTCTCAAATATTTCAGGGAACCTTTCGAAGATCTTGCCTCCAATCTTCCTCCTCAGAGCTCTGGCCTCAATTCTTTTCATGGTCTAACAAATGAATCCTAATCTCTTCACAATTTACTTTTTGTTAAACCTAGTCTTGGGCCTCACAATTGGGCTTTTCTCAACTTACCCTCACTAACTCCTCTTAAATATTCAATTTGCTCTTAGTCAACTTGTATTTATTTTAATTAATAATAATATTAATATATTCATATGATATACTATTATTCAAAATAAATAACCCAAATTTCATTAGTTTCCAATATTCCACAAAACCACCGAATATCACCGAAATACGAATATTCTTATTTAAATCAATTAAATAAATATTCCAATTAAATTTGGGGTGTTACAAGAACAAACGATGGCAATGTTTTAGTAACAAAAGGTGGTTCAAAAATGGTTGAATTCAAATTGGTAAAAAAAAACGTAATGATTCTTAGTCTTAACAAAGAAACCTCTATATTTCCCGATTAACCAAAGATAAAAGTTCCAAGTGTATTTCCCGTAGGCTAGTTGTCGATTTCTTGAAAAAAAGAATTGTAAAGCCTTTATATAACACAAAGTTAAATAATTCTTTTATATGAATTCGTAGCAAAAAGTTTCCTTCAAGAATCTAGGTGGGCTTAAATTCTTAAAATTATAACGTGAATCCTGATTCTTCATTGATAAGCCTAAAATGTAGTCACATAGATTGGCCTTGGTTTATGACTATGGTTAAGATGTTGATTTGAACCATGACATTCTCATTTTGACTTTATGAAGAACATGAATATTTAAACCCATTAGCGTGCCTGGAATATGGAAATGAAATTGGCGAAGCTTTACCATTCTTAGATTTTAATCATACGGAAATGTAATTATACCAAGACTCCTCCGAATAAGAAACTCTTAATACTTACAACTTTATTCATAACTTGCGATAATACACAAAACTCCTTGAGGAAATCCTTGGATATAACTTGGAATCCTAACCGGACTTTCAGAACACACTTAAATATTGCTAACTGAGAGAACTAGTACTCCTATCTTCGAAATTTATGCACCTGCACAAACTTGTTAGTGATAATAAACACTCGCATGAGGCCCTATGACCTAAATATGCTACGCGAGACAGAGATCGAAGAGTTGAGGATCTTAGGTCAAAAATTAGGGTGTGACAGATGCCCCTATTAAAGTTTCTTCTAACCGGAGATATGGAGATTGAAATCTTCGTCTCGATGTGATAGGAGGGACTTAAATACAAACATGCACAAAATATTTGACCCTAAGATACCACAAAATGATTATGATATGCAATGATATGAAATGCGAGACGACGATCCTGTGAGGAATGTTGTCACAGTGGGATAACTACATATAGGAGACGTGAGACACAACAATGGAAAGGGGGACCTGGCGAAGATGACTTAGCAAAACAGGGTTCCACGGGGAAAGGATTATCGATTGACAAGCACCGGGTATCTTTAAACATATCATGAAGAACTTGGCGAGTTCTATTTGAAGAATCTACTATCGAGTTCAAATGTAGTGATTTTAAGAGATATCAGCTGGAGGAGTCTACTGTCGAGACTTATAACCTCATTTGAAAAAACTCATTTCTGAAAAGGTGTCCACTATTAAAATTTATAGGGGATCTACTGCCGAGATTCTACATTGAAGTTTGTTGGAGATATACTTCCATCGAAGTCTTCTAGAAATCTTATGCCGAGACTTGCCAGGAAATGAAAAGAAATACCTTCATCCGAGGTCTTATGGAAATCTTCTGTCGAGACATGCCAGGTAATGAAAAGAAATACCTTCGAATAAATTTTTCAAAAGGATAATAAACCTTCCCACGCTTCAAGGTTGTATGCCAAGAGCGGGTCTCAGTTTCTTCCTTAATCAAGATATACTTGAAAAGGGTAAAATAAACCTCCCCACGCTTCAAGGTTGTATACCAAGAACGGGTCTCAGTTTCTTCTTGGAATGACGAGTACTTATAGGAAAGCATCTTCATAGGGGATTGGAATTTCACTGGAGATTGATGACTTCAGTGGGAATCCATAACTTATCGAGGATTATAAAACTTCATCCGGGATCTTCAAAAGAGATACAAGATGGTTGATTTTTAAACTATGTCTTCTCAAATAAAGAGAAAGATTAATTGAATCTTCATCAAGCTTCTCGGAGAGATGCCATTTAATGGAATTAAACTTGTGTGATGGACTCACTGGGGAATACAATCCTGAGGAGCATCTTTGTGGTAACTGTAAACTGTATGAAACCTTTGTAGTGAAAAATCTCAAATAAAGAGAAATACTTATAGAGTCTTCACCAAACTTCTCGGAGAGATGCCATTTGATGGAGTATAAGTTGATAATCTACTAGGGATAGACAAACTGTCTCGAGGAGACTGCCATTTGTCATCTTAATAGAAAAGCTGAGAACAAAGTAAGTTGCTCAAA